AAAATAGACGGAGAAAGGAGTACGACAACTGAATTGTCTAAATTCGGCTCAAAAATGTTACAAAAGACTAGAATTGCTTAGAACACACCGTTATTGTGTGAAACATCGAATTAAGAATAACACAAAAATGTGGCCTTAAGAAGTTTATCACCAAGTTATTTACAAAGAAGGAAATGAACGAGTGTCCGATGATGATCACTAAAGCAATGACATCAGTCCAATTCCTTGTATACTTTTTAAAGCCTTATTTTTTAGCTTCGAAAGTAGGAATTCGTTTGGTATGTTACACGAAATATATAAGCACAAACAATCTCAAAGTATACATATGTGCCACTACTCATTATATTCTTAAAATTACTTGATACTTTTAATGGACCTTTATTATTCTTTTGTTCCTAGTAAACTTGATCAAAGAAAGCATATTTACAATAAACGTAACTGGATTAACTGGAAAAATCAAACTTTAACAAACTGCGATATAACGTAAATGGTTACGAACACTTGAAATCTCGACAATTTTACATCCAACAATTAAAATATTTAACGTACACAAAATTTACATTAGCAATTTTTAAAAATGGTTTAAATTCCGGTACAAAAATCATTAAAATAACACTATTTGGAGGCAAAGTACATTATTTCAAATGTTACTGAGGAGGTACCAACGTTAGTTGATAATTTTAAGTGGAACGTAATTTCACATAAAGTTTAACATGTTATTGTTTGTTATCATTAATATTATTATTAATAACTATTATTGTTACACCTATGTTAGTTCCTTGAGTCAAGTTGTGCGAAGTTTTCGTTTATTTAATCATTATCATTAATTTTATTATTATACCAATTATCATTAACGACACAGCTACTTCAACAAAGAGTTTATGATACCGCATCGCTATATATCCACTACAGGTTGAATTCGACATACAATAAATTGTTTAATTACTGTTTACTTTAACCTTATAGACACCAATTAGATACAGTATTAATTATTAATTACACGTAATTAAAATGTGCCATAGCCAATAGCGGGGAACACAAACACTTGTATTTTGAGATGTGAAGAGAAAAAATTATAATAAACCCTACTATAAATGGCGCTTAACTATTAAATCAACAATGCCAATACATACATATGATACACATATAATTATATTCAAAAACTTTTTTAAACAACATAACGAGAATATTTTTAACTTTTCAGTTCTGTGAATAAATCACTAACATTTTTTTTTCAATCGAATCGTATTTATGACTTACAATACGAACATACATTTTTAAACATATAATATCGTTAATTTTAGTCTAACCGTTGCTTTGTCTTTGTGAGAAAATGTTGATCTTTTTGAAGAACAAGCCATATTGTAAGCATAGAATCATGCAAGTATGTCCTGTGATCTCTAACTTATTTAATATATTATGTGATCTTATAGTATAGGTCGTGAAGACATTTTACAGAGCACTAAACGTCAGAGACTACAGGATCACAATTGGTACATCCATAAAATTGATTCGTCTTCTTCAACTAATTGCCAATTTAACAAATCAATTATTATAGAAAAAAGTTTGAAGAGCTGACTACAATATACACAACAGTTTTCTTCACAATATATATCTAAATACATACATCCTACAAAAACTATCTACGTCATCTATGATATTTACTTTCTTTGAGACGTTTATTTTACCCTCTAATTTTTTGTCACAGAATCGCTTTATTTTGACTTTCATTATTATTAACAGTTTTCAATAATTATTTACATTTAAAAATAACTCGACAATTTTAATGAAAATTTATAAGAAGGCTACGAAGGAACAAAGCCTATGATTCAAAGCACAAATAACATCTCCGAAGGACATGAGGTTACAACAGAGAAGGCATTATTAACATTTTACTTTCGAAAGGGACATTATACAATCTAATCTTTAACAGAAAATATCGAAACCCTGATAATTCCAAACATTATTGATGAACCACAACAAGAAGCGCTAAATTACAACATTAAATTCGATGGTGTGCTAATATTATTTTTCGGGGTTTATCGTCTTTCCTCCCCACCAATACATATTGAACACTATTTACTACAGTATTCGTATTCAATATTACGAAATGAATTGTTAATGCACATGAAAACTAATTGGTGCCTTTTCAGGCAGCAGTACTGTGTCATACATTTTTACCGGTAGAGAAGATATAAAGACTATAAAATTTGAGCGATCATGTAACTATAATTATATTGCTTTAACTCGATGAATCGATTCAGTGAAAGCTCTATTAAAACTTCTAAATATAGATCCGTATGCAAACAAAGCAGTGAAGGCCTTATACAAAGTTCTTATTCGCACGAAAGCAAAATATGACGTTTTTATTGTCGAAGTTTAAAAACATGGAGATATACACAATGAAGAAGAAGCGATGAAATATTTTTATTGATGCCAGAATAAAAAGATCTCTTCATGGAACCAACATAACTAATTGTGACCAAACATATAATACCATCTGCCGATACAAATGAAACGTGAGCACGGGCGTTTAATGAAAGAGGTATGCATATAACTTTTTAGTTTAAGCGATGGAAATAAGATGGATAATTGTGTGCACTGTAATGTGGAAACAGGACTCATGGTTCTATATGAGGGCTTTGGTGAAGCAATTACCTTACAGCGTACACATCAGTGACGTCACTAGCCGATACGGCTACACATGTTAAGCTACAAACAAAGAGAAATCAAAATGAAATGCATGTCTGGCATCCGAAAAGACCTTAAATATAACGTTACAAGTTTCAACAGCATCTAAATAACCACTACTCGCTTATAAAGATATCTTGAGCATCGCTAAAATATACATATTATGAAGAATTTCAAGTAATTTATCAGGCACAGTTTTTTTTTTTTTATTTCATTATAATATATTATGTATGTATACGAGTCATATCGCCCTACGACACAAAAGACAATATTTACTTACATTTGCAGTATAGTAATGTATAGATAATGCGCACTTTCTGTGCCTTTATAAAATAAATTAGATTTCCGTAGACAATTACTAAGAATTACATGAAGTGTTTACATAATATATTTATAAGAATATAATAATATAAGTAAAGCATTTTCTTTTTTATCGATTAGAGCATAACGGATCCCATATATTAAATGTACTATAATTTCAGGGACACAGATTATATACAAATATTTTATATTCTTCGTTATTTGAAACAGTATATTACTGAGAATGTTTCTTACTATATTCTTAAACTGACTGAGGTAACATTCATATAAACGTTACCCCACTACATGACACCATTTCACTGAATTGACAGATTTCGTGATTTTATTTATACAATTTTTAGTCTGTGCTTTACTGTGGAACTCGGTACGTAAAATGGCAATAATTTAAGTACAATTTTCGTTAACGATTTCATTACAGAGACGGCAATATACGGTTTTAAGAGACTAAGTTTATTTAATTAAAATTATTTTTTTTTAAAGTATAGATTCGTCGCATAGAAACCCGATTTCCACAGTAAAGCAAATTATCAAAAATAGGTACCATATTGTTTTTAACCTTATTAAAATTATGCCCAGTTCTAAAAATTAAAAAGTTAGAGAAGCTAGCGCTGCTAAAACTAATCTATGCGATATCAGTCTCCACTAGAACCTTACAATTTAGAAATCCATAAAGTAAATCACAGAGTTTGAAATAGCAAAACATTTGAGTGAAATAGAACTAGTGTTTTGTTCATACGTTATATTCATTACCACCGTTCCGCGATACATTACATCGCTTTCTGATATGTATCATCCTAAAGACGTTGTTTGAAGTGAGCTTGAAGGAAAAAAGAAGAAAATTGAACAGTGTCCCTTAGCATCGATACTTGGGTACCGTCATTAGATACAATTCGAAAATGTCACACCTCATCATTGTTCAAAGACAACCTTACCTTAAACGACCTATCGTACAAAATAGCAAGACGTGTCAACTCGAATTACCTACAAAACAACCCTTGCCGTGTGTGCAAATATATCCGCAGGGAGCCACGCGTGCAAACTAAAAATTTCAAAAGCGGCAGTCTAAGACCACGTGTTGCAAACATGGCTCCCATTTGAATATTACCACATGGACAGGGTTTTGACTCGCTCCAATAATGCCAACTTCAAAATTTCCGCACTCCGAAATTCTTCCAATGACATACCGATTAGCTTCCATTAGGGAAATTATAAATGTCGTATTATCTACTATGTGTTCATCAAAATATAAAGTGAACTTACGTACAGTAATAGAACGCAAGGCAAACTTGACTATAACCTAGTTTTATTTTTCTAGTTTTCGATTAATACATGTTTCATCTATGACATCTGAACATATAATGACAATCTTCCTTAAAGTACGAACGTTAAAATAAAATAATAGAGCGACGTAGAAGTTGCAATCTAACTATTTAGAAGCCAAGTCGAGTAATGTACACGTATAGAATACGGATAAGACAACGCGGTACGAGCGGTGCGGCGAGACCCGACTGGACCGTGGTTTTCTACCAACCAGGCGACGGAGAGTATAAGACGGATTATTTACTGAGATGCGTCTGAGACGTGCCGTTTGGAAATCACACCGATTATGTTTGTGTCGAACCTAAATTCAACGAAAACAACTCGGTAAAAGAATCAACTCACAGCCTGTGTTAAAAAAGAATACTCAACGCTTCCTGCACGCGACGCATTGACGTCACAGTATTCTAAAAACACTAATTGAAAAAACAAGGAAACTGAGGAAAAATACGGTCATAGACGACCTGTTATCGAAATAAAACCATTTCACCCTCGAACCTTATTAAATAACTTTGTACATTGAATCCAAAAGTCGACACGTCATTTTGGATGTAGGCACTCTCTAGGCGGGCGGCGAGCGGTCGCCGCGTCGTCGGCCTCCGTGTGGCGGCTCTATAATGAGATCAGTGGAACTGGCCAGCGGCCGTGGCGACCCTAGCACCGCTCTAAGATTACGTGAGGTACGAGGAAAACGTATGGTCAACCCAGTCGCCCGCCACGCCTATCTCGCTGAGCATGTCGGAAACATCCGGCGTACACGAGAACTCAAAGTGCGAGCCAGAGGAGGAAGACGCGGTCTCGAACGACTCCATGTCAGTTGTCAACGCGTCCAAATCGACCTCGCAGTCCGTTGGTAACGGAAGCAAGTCAGTAATAGAGTACAGATCCGTAAGGTCTGATTGCTCGCGACGTGTGCTATCATCGTAGAAGCAAGCAGATTCAGGAGAGTCTGGCGATCCAGCGGGGGAAGCCGGCAGTGGTGGTGGAGCTGGTGTTTCAACAGGTACGCTCGGAATGCTGGGAACACTTGGCGCGGGTCGCGTTCGCCGTCTGGACACTCCTCTGTTGTTATTCGAATCTGCTCGCTGTTTGCGCTTCTGTTTTGTAACTGCTCCGGTTCTCTGCGCCGGTTTGCTTGTCTTCTTACGAGGCCTGTACTTGTAGTCAGGGTACTCGCGCATATGAAGCTGTCTGAGACGTTCCGCTTCATCAATGAATGGCTGCCGTTCTTCATCATTTAAGGTCTTCCAGACGCGTCCCAAGTTTTTCGAAATCTCGGCATTGTGCATGTCGGGCGTTTGCTCACATATTTTTCTGCGCTCGATTTGCGACCAGACCATGAACGCATTCATTGGCCTCTTGATGTGATTAGGGTTGTTCTTCTTCGTCTGCGAACAAAAGAAAAAAAAAAAACATTAGTAACGATCATTATTTAGGCTTATCTATAAACCAAAACAATATTGGAAGCCGAAAATTAGGGTTATCTGTTTAATTGTGGTGAGCGTAATTATTATTTCAGGCATGTCCGATTTGCCGAGCACATCCAGAGAGCTGGTTGTATCAAATTAGTATGCATGATGTTGTACCATTAAGTCTGCGTCCTTACTATTAATGATATTGTTATCGTAGGAATAATTATTATTACAAACAAGTCGAAATCGTTATCTATTCTGATAGTTCGACAGCGGAAAATTTTAAAATCCTCTACTCCTATCTTTCTATAGACTATGCCCTTATTGTAATAAAGTGATTGATAGTTAGGAGTTGTGCGTCTTCATTTCAAGAGGTGCGTGACCTAATTTTATTTCTATTTTAAATGATCTAGTGCAATGTCCAACCGCAAAACTCTTGACTTGAGTACTCTTACCTAACGTATCAAGCGCTTCCGTATCGGACGTATGCCATAAAACATTGACGATCAGGAAATTAAAGGACGGAGGAAGTTATTATCAAATCATTTAGGAAGTGCTAAAGGACGTGTTTCGATGCAAGGGTAATGAAGTTTATCTTATGTTTCTAACATAGAAAAGAAATGTTTCTATATTTTGGCAAATGTACAGCTTATTTTCAGGGACTTCACTGCGGGAAAAGTTTACAACTCACTATCTTGGAGTCCATACTCAACGGAGACATAAAAACAACACCACACTATAAGAACATAATCGAGTGAGTATATCTTTTATTATTCAAATCTTACTCTCGCTAAACTCCATTCCGCTGGTCCCGCTGGAAACAGCAAGAGGGGTAAAAAAAACTCCCACTCGACATTTTATGTTCGTCTTATTTATATTCAGTACAAAAAAAGGGTTTGTCAGACGGCGACTAAATCAAATTCGAAACGCCTACTCTGACTCTCAAGGTGAACCGAATAGTGGTAGTGTTTTTTTCGCTCGTTCACTTAAAGCGTAGCCAACAACTAATACAAGTACTTTTATTATTAATGCGTTCTATACGGTACTAAAAGTACAGCTACAAAATAATTAATAAGACCAAGATTTTACTTTTAAAGATTACACATCGTAATCAATTTATTTCTTCTATAATAAAAATTTTTTTAATACTTTCTGGTCAACTATGTAATGATATTGACATAGACGTCTTTAGCGTAAATCATTTCTTTAAATAAGTTCGCACAACTTATTTAATTAGAGGAAATTAAGCAAGACAACGATGTAATTGCCTCATCAGAAGTTTGTTCTGGAGAAGAGTGGGCACTTTGGACAAATGTGCTGATCTCTTTCCTTAACTACTTTGTATTAAGAGCCTCACCCACAAACAAGGATCAGATGAAAATAACTTTAGTAAGCATTCGTCACTGAATAGAAGTATTAATATAGAGTAAGAATTTAGAAAGTTTTTTTTAATCCTAAATTGCCAAATAAACTAATAATCCCTTATGGTAAGTGGGAACTACGACTTAAAGACACCTGAACCAAATTAAAACCAACTCTCAGTCAGAGTGAAAAGGCTTTGCAAAATTATATTACACTTAATAAAATTTAACAATGAATGTTTATTTTATTTTGAATAATTTAAAATTTATCAATCATCAATATTAATTAATTACCTATCTTATATCTTTTATTGGTAGCTATTTTTGGAAAAACATCCTCAAAGTGGTTTAATTTTGAACGTGATATAATAATGTGATTTTGAAGATTTAAACAGATTTAAATGACAACAAAAATAATTGCGTTATCGTTCAAATATTGTATATGATTGCATTAATATACAACATGACATTTAGACACATGGAACTCTAATAACGCTCTCACCAGTATCTTCGAATATTTAGTACAGCATATTTTAAGGATATTTGTAGGTTTACAAAGCACGGATGGGTCGGCTCGATCGGGGTACAAAATACCACCGTAAAATTGTAGCTTAATGCTGCTTGGGTTTCGTATGGTGAGTGTATAGAGAACCGGACACCCTTTTTGCTGGACAAAGAAAGGTAACAGTGCATCTGCTATTTAATTATTTTTGGAGGATATATTTAGATGTCTATGAACCACGGCATTCACTTACCATCAGGTGGATGGAGCATCCTTTAAAAAAACTTAAAAAAGTTAAAATTGAAGGTAAATCCGGATTTGTATTATTTTATAAAATTAAAGGCTACCCAAGTATTTTTTTTTCTGTAAGCAGTACTTTAAGTATTATTCAAAACAATATAAAACGGTGCGTCTTAAAGGAGTGGCGACGACTTACAGCACGATTGGTTCAATAGTTATCTGTCATGTTCAGGAAACGAAGTGGACGCCCTTGCAGCAACTGGCACCGAACACGCGTCGGGCGACGCGACCGTCATACTAAGTAGATCCAACTCTAAATAGGAGGTTGCTAGACCATATCTAGTCCGGGCATCACGGGTAGTTTGATTTTTTACCGACCTCAGCTATGTAATCTTAAGTGTATCGCTTTTTCCATCGCTGTTTTTATGTCAGGAAGACGTATGCATGTGATTGATGTGGGCCCGAGTTTTGTACTACATATGGACATAAGAACATTTTGTTCCGTCATAGAACAAATAGATATTTATATTTAATTAAGGACTATGTACAAATTGGAAGGTTTTATTATGACACCAGTATAAATATTTATTTAATACTTATATGGATTAAAATTATTACTATTCCCTTGAGATTTCTTATTGAAATAAACTGTCTGCAGCAGAGTATAGGTTGACAGGGTGACATTTTTAAATTGCAGTTTCAGAAAACACATGAAACATATATTAATTAGCATAACCTGCCAGTGTTTAACCTTTTAAAAACAATCGGAAGTAACGTTGCATTTCTTCCTTCCTGTAACATATTCATTCTTACAACTATGTCCTTGAAAAAGTCAAAAACACACCATTCATTTTCAAGCTCATTAAATCACAGTCGTGGATTATCCGTAAACGGTGGCGTCGATTGTACGACACAATACGAAAAGGCCAACATCGTTCAAGTTAATAAACGAATTTACGATTATAAAGTTCGCAAATACGTAGTTGAAGTTTCCGCATATTTAAATAGCACGTTTATACAATTCCGGAGTTTTCGCAAGCCGAATGGAGGTCAGAGACGCGATAAGGCTCTTAAAAGATGATTAATGACGACTTCCTTCGGTGGAACTGGTTTTTAGCATATGCAGACAACCGGAGTTATGTTTGACACATCAGGACGTCGAAGCCTACTTATTTGTTTATTAATAATCGACTCTCGGTTGTGGTTTATGTTAATTAATGAAAACCAGATCGCAGTGTGTTTGCGCAGTGTTTTGTAACCTACATAATCAAATTTATCACTCTTTTTAGTTAAAATGCTAAATTTTGATGACGCACCTGCACCTCTTGTGTAGCAGATGTTCATGGACAACTGTGTTCCCTTACCATCAGGTGAGCCGTATGCTCGTTTGCCTTCTCTCCCATAAAAATAAGTATCACACTTATTAATTTATACATAATGATCTATCAAAACCTTTTCTCTTTCTACATTAAATCACTATCCTTACTCTAACAGATCATCGTATAAGTATACAGCTGTAACCTAGAATGATTTAGTGAAGGAGGACAAATGTGCTGGAATACGAAGCGAAAGATTGTTGGTGGAACGTAGACGACGATCGTGAGAGGAGGAGATGAACTCAAAGTGGTCTTTCAGGTAACGTGGAGTGGAGGGATTGAACATTATGCAGTATAAAGCATAAAGGATGTGAGTATTCCTACAAAGGCGAATCGGCAGCAGTTTACGAAATTCTGAAATTTGATCATATTAACGGAGTCCAAATATGAATTGTAAATGTGTTTTTTGAATTCGCTTTTTCTTATTTATCTTGGCAGGCGGATCGTAGACCGCAGTATCAGATATCTTGCATCTATGACGCTGCAGCCCGTCGTCGGTCTGGGTAATTTAGGTCTGACATATCTATATTTATCATACATATTAGCTATCTGTCAGAAACCATAAGGTATTTCTGACAATTCTCACAGTCGTCCCTAACGACACCCATGTGGTGAAATGAGATAATACATCACCAAGTTATATTACGCTGCCAAATACATTGCAAAAATTTAATGCTGAGGTACAAACATTAATATAAATCCATAAATTATTTATTTAATATATTGCACATTCAATCCCAAATTTAGTTGACAATCAATACACGAAGGATTTCGTAACAAATGAAGGTACATCCGAAGAGACAGAAATGCAAAATCTGGTACTATCCATCAAGGGCTTAAGCACTTAAGATGGGGGTTTTAACACATTATGCGATCTCCATTAAAAGGCACGAGAAAATATTAATGAAGATGTAGGCAATCCCCAGTCCTCTACCGCTGAACAATGGCCCCCGGGGACGGTGATTAGGCCGGGCTTCATTGTTATAAGGCCCAGGCAGATGATTCCTTTTGTGTTTGCTGATAATGAGTTATAATAGTCGAAATGAAACTTTTTTGGATTACGCATGACGGCTAAATGAACCTAATGTGACTACAATAAATCTACTAAAACCTAATCGTGTTTTTATTTCTATCACTAAAATGTCAATCACAAATGTCATTCCAGCGTTGTATTGTTTTTGATTGATAGTTTTTACAACTAATCACTATGCTTCGTTTACTTAGCATACGTATTGAAAGTGACTCATTTTGGTCAAGAAATATAGAATATTGACAAGTAATCTATCGGATCAAAACTATGGACCATCGTGTCAAAAATTCAAATATGACGTAAATTTTTTGCCAGAAGTTACACGATTACTAACATACAATATTACACTACAATACTAAAATACTAGCAGTTCCCCGCGACTAATAAGAGTAACCCGCTTGAAATTTATTACGGTTGAATTTCATGTGTAATAATTTATTTTTCCGCGAAATCCTAATTCTTTATGT